AAGTCATTGTTCTTTTCTATTTTGTATTGGTCAGATCACACTTAGAACATTGTGCCCAGTCCTGGGTAACACTTTTAGGAAGGACATTGACATAGAGATATCCAGAGGATAGCAATGGCAAGGGTCCTGGAAGGAAGAACTTTGAAGGTGATGGGTATGCTTAGCCTGGAAAAGAGAAGACTGAAATATGAGCGCTATCTCCAAGAACCTGAAGGACGCTCGTCTAGGAGTTCAGAGCTGTTCCAGAAGGCAGGGCAGGAAAAAGTGGGCTTAAACTGTAAGGGTTTCAGGAAAAAAATCCCTAGCACTTCAGCAATGGAACACCTGCCTTGAGAGGTGATGGACTCTCATTTGCTGGTGGTGTTTAAAAAGAGGCTGAACAACAAGGATGCTATAATAGTGGGTAAGGAATTGAACTAGATGATTCCCACAGTCCCTTTCAAACTTTCATTTCACGTTTCTATGAGCTGTTGCTTCCGTAGGCTGACAAGTACAGCGTGTGATACCTGGAGTTTCACTTTTGGAAAACTGGTAAGAGAACTTTCTCTTCCCCCACTTTTCTTGGCGTGGAAAATAATCCAGAGAGTTTGCTTTTTAACACTAGGAAATTGACTACAGGATTACAAAATTGAATACCTCCGTTTTTCTTAAAAAATCAGGAATCTAGTAGCATGTTTTCCAATTAACAATTTTTGTTAAAAGGCAGGAGCTACAGCTCACTCCATCTGATGCCTAGAGTGGCTAGACTGGTGCAGGATATAAATTGGGGTGAAGCTGTGGAGAAGGGAGGGAAAAACAGGCTATGCAGATGCAGGTTACACGTCAGACGCATTACAAGTACTTTATCAATTAACAACTGTAATGTGTTAAAAAACTACAGGTAGTCCTCGTTTACCGACCACTCATTCAGCAACAGTTCAAAGTTATGACAGTGTTGAAAAAGGAGACTTATGACTGGTCCTTGAAGTTGCAGCCATCATAGCGTCCCATGGTCATGTGATCACCATTTGCGACCTTCACAGCTGGTTTCCAACAAACAAAGTCAATGGGGAAGCTGGCAGGGAAGGTCACAAGTTACCCTGGTAAATCCCCCTGGCCTTCCTGCGCTCACGCCCCACTGAACCACCTACCCCCTCACCTTCCTGCACTTGCGCTGCGCCATCCAGCCCTTGGCCTTCCTGCACTCATGCACAACCTGCACCATGCCTCCCAAACCCTCCCCTCCCCTCCCACCCCCCCCCACCATC